TATATATATATATATATATAAGTAATAATTTAATTTGTCTTTTTATATTTGACCTTAAAAAAAATTCTTGACAAAAATGCTTGACAAATTTCTGGATCCACTAATAGGATTTAGTGATTATCCTAATTGCTACTTTGAGATTAAATAAACAGTGTGGTACCTTAATTATGCACCTTAATTGAAACTGTCATTTGTAGGAGCCAGTGATCTGTGACAGAGGAAATTAAATGGAGTGTTTGATCAACAGCTATAATAATAAATGAATTATGAATCGACATAATTAGTATTCGCTCATAAATATTCTACAAATTATATATCTATTCAATTTTGAATGGCACGTGTCGCGCAAGCTTTATTCTAATGCCGATTCGTACTAAAAAAATATTCACGCCTTCCATAATAAAATTGCAATCTAACGAAAAAATATAAATATAAGCATTTTACAATAAACGCTGAGGGACGTTTATCAATCGTCAATAGAATTGCCTAAGATTCTAGATTCTACTAGCAATGCCACATATCTTATTTCCGGCTTGAAACTTAAATTAGCTATTAGTTTCTGCTACATTTTATTAAAAATGCAATTTCGTCACTTTGGAACGAATCCCTATTTACTCACGCTGTCAAATTGTTTGTCAGTTTATTCATTTCTCTCTCCGAGGCAACCCTCATCAGTAGCAACCAAAATCAGTCGCATCAAAATACCCAAGGAACACATAAAAATCAACAAAAAATCAAAATGACATTATTTTAATTTTTAACGTCAATAAATAGTCACATTTTGTAATCAAAAATCATCATTTGGATCTTCATAACATCAAAACAAAGCCATTTTGACTTTCTCTTGACTCGATGCGTTTCTTCGGTAATAAACTCGATTAGTTTCATAAGCATGCTTCCATACGCATTTCATAGCTATGCAATTATTGCAATGATAAAAAAATGCACTATGTTCTTCAATTCTATTACAAAAAAGTTCGACGCAGTCATGCAATATCCGATCGATCGCAGTTTTTTCTCTTTTTTTCGAACTTTTGGATGCACGTTGCGCGTTTTACTGTTTCGTTGAAATCGTAGTAAATCTAATATATATTAAAATATAGTACGCTGAGACGAGATTAAGATGAAACGTATATTTCTAGTGAACTCTAACAATTTCGTCTGGTATATAATATCAGAAATAAATAATTAAAAAATTTACAAAATGGCAATGAATAAAAGTCACTGACAGACATTTGGTATATTGCACAACCGTGTCCAAACAGTTGTCGTTCAGTTTCTGCTCAGGTGCTTGCGCACTTTTCTCTCTTCCCTGCGAGATCCTCGCGACAATCGATCCGACATCAAATTTTCTCTCGATAAAAGTAACGTATCGTTTAGTAACATGTACGCGTATATAAAATTACCGACGTCAATTTTTCCGACTGAGAAAAGAAAGAATTGCAATACAATTCGCTACTAAATTACCATATAGAAACTTGTGTGTTTCTTAGAATTAAATAAATACATTATGTACACATATTTGTGTACCCGCAATGATCTGATCAGACATACGTATACTATCTATATTTTTTCACTTTTCTTCTCCATTTTCTTTTTTCTTTTTCTTTTTTTTCTTTTTTTTTATAACAGCCAAATGTTTTCTTTTGCGGGGAATATGACATGACTAGAACGCACTTCTTTCTTCCTTTGAATTATTTTAAGGCAAGCTCACATTTTTTTCTCGCACACGCACTTCTCTTCTTATCGTTAGTTTTTTTTTCTTTTCCCTTCGTCGCTTGTCTTTCTCTCCATCGATTTGCTTTCTTCTCTTTAGACACTCTCTCTCTCTCTCTCTCTCTCTCTCTCTCTCTCTCTCTCTCTCTCGCAAGCATTCCCATGTTCTCAGATATACATACATATACATACACATATCCATTTAATACGTCACGCGACATGTTCGTTGTTAATCGTCTCAGAGGATGAACTTATGTGAGTTTCCGGCACAATTAAAGTTCGTTCTTCGCGAAATCGTATTGTCCCGAGACCGCTTCTGTGTCCTGTAATCAAAATTGAGAAATCGTGTAAAAAATAAAATGGTTCACAAGGCTGAGAAAAATTTTTTTAATTATATTATGTTACATTAGAAAAAAGTGCAAAGAGAATTAATTCAGATTAAGATATAATTAAGATAATAAATTAGGAATAATTATTAAATACACTGGAAGAGAAGTATTTGATAATTATGATTATTATTTTTCTTTTCTTTTAATATGGAAATAGAAGATATAATCCCAAGGAAAATAAGAAAATCAAAATAATGTCAATTTAACATCATATTAATGAATTTACTATATCATTTTTTGTTCATAAAAATCTCAATCTCAGGTCAATCTAAGAATGATCAAGAATGATCAAAAAATGATATAAATTAAATATTGCATAAGCACAGAATGTTTTGCACCTTTATCAGAAAGTTAATTTTTTTCCATAAACGAAACGTTCTATTCAATCATCTAATTGCTCTCTCATTGGTTCTGTTTTCTATAAAGTTTTGTAATGCTCTGACAGTATTCACATAGCTCCATCGTAAAAGACAACCGATTAGTCATAAAACAATGAAGAAACGTAATTGCTGATCTCTCTTCTCATAATGAAAATGTAATTGAATTAAATCTTATTTTCACGTTTATGATAACTGCTGACGTTATGCCTTCCTAATTTTATATAAGCATATCCTAATATAACTTTTATTAGTAGACATTGTGAATTAATAAAATATTGATATAAAAAATATTGTTATTTATTTTATATACATGAATTATTTTATATGTTGAATAAAATATTTAAGTCGAATTAG